TTGCTGATGTTGTTGACAATGTTGTTGCTGCTGTTGTTGGTGTTATTGTTGATGAAGTTAAGATAGTTGTTGATGTTGTTAGAAGGGGTAGGTTGAATAGGGCAGGGCTCAAGTAGTTGGCCAACAGGGCGTCGGTCAGTGCTGTCCAAAAAAATTATTCATGATATAAACTGGTGACGTACGATGATGAAGATGACGATGTACGGTGTGATGATCATTTATGGTAATGAAATGTGATGACACTATATGTTGATGATGAGGTTTTGCAATGTGATTTGATGATTTAATGGGATGATATATGATGATATATGATGATACAATATGATAAGTGTGATATGGTGTGAAAATATGGAATGATATAAAATGAAGTATATTGTTATATCATAACGCGATATAATGTAATGATAGAATGTAGTAATATAATTTATTGACAGATTCTATGGTCGCTGATATCTTTCCTCCTCCTCATCATCATTTTTTATATCACCATTATAATCATCTATCATCATCGTTTTCATCGGTAGCACTATCATAAGTGATACCATCATAATCATGATCGTTTTGCTATCATCACCATAATCTTCTTCATGTTTATCATCATCGTCGTCGTCGTCATCATTACCAGCATCATTATCCCCATCACCACCATCATCGCCATTAAAATAATAATTTTCATAATCATTAAAAAGTTATATTTTTTTGAATAAGTTATTTACATGATGATGATGATGATGACGACGACGATGATGTTTTTTTGTCGAAGAGTTCGATAAATTCAAATTGAGTGGTGATGACATGACGACGGTGATGATTATGATAAGGATGATGCTGATAATGATGATACAACGATGATGATGATGATAACGATGATGATGACGATGGTACGAACAACAAAGATGATAAGATAACGCTTCTGATCAAAGTATCAATACGATTAAAGTAACATGATAATGATTACTAAGAAGAATGAAGACGATGATGATAATAAAGATGATATAGAGGATAGAGATGGCTGACTATGACGATGACAATGACGATGATGATGGTAGGAAGGGTTATAATAAAAGAGTTATGTCTCTTACGGAAACATTTCATGTTGAAGAATAGTGGTAATGTTGGTGTTATTAAGCGTTGGCTGTTTATGCTATTAATGCTGTTGTTGTTGTTGTTATTGTTGTTGTTATTGTTGTTGCTGTTTTTAGATGTTGGACAACACGGTATTATATTACACATTTTGTTGTTAATATGTTGTTGTTGTTGATGATGTTGTTGTTGTAAGTTAAATGTGGCAGCTGTCGAAAGAATGTTGGTTGTTGTGTTGGTTCCGTTACAGTCAATACCATTGCTGTTGTTGACGTTGATGATGTTGTTGTTGGTGTTATTGATGTTGTTGTTGTTTCTACTGTTATTTATTGTCAGATCCACCGGTGCTAAGTTTTGGCTGGAACTGA